ATTCTTAAGTTCGCCAAAGTAGTGAACTCCCCGGTATCAAGTGGAAAGAGAAAATTCTCATTTTCAGGAATAGAACTGTAAAGAGAAGGAGAACAACATGCTTGAAACTCATGGAACTTTGTCCAATTAATGCTTTTTTCTGAGCAAACATTAATGTAATATCTACTTCTTCAAATGTAGATATTACATTAATGTTTCATCTTCATGTATCATCTTCAAATGTATCATCTTCATGACTTCTATGAACTAAAGTCCCCCTCCCCCAGATTGTGATTTCCAGTGAATTACTAGCAGAAGACATTTGGATTTGGTTTTCTATGTGGAACTATGTATATAAAATTGCTGCTTGACCAGTTCTTTGACTTACAAAAATGGTTCACACTAATATTTCAGAATATTTCTTATAAAAACTAGGAGGAAATAAATTTTTTGTAGGAGACTTATCTACCAGGAGGAATTTTAACTGCATATTGGAGAAGAGAATAAAAATGCTAAATCTAAGAGTACCATGGATTCCCGCAGGTGGGACCTAGAAGAAGCCACCGTGCTCAGAAATTCTCAGGGCAAATATGGGTCAGATATTCCCATATCAGTGCACAGAAAATGTATAATGAATATAGTAACCTTGAAAGACAGCACATAGTGATTCTGTAACATAGGTACCAGTTCCTCCAGGTTAATGTTACATTTGCAGTCTGAGAGAGCTGTTACGAGTTGAAGCTTGTTAAACAATTGTTTATACCAATGGAAATATTCTTCCTGGGTGACCTTCATACATTAAGCAAAACTTATTGGGCAGCTATATGATTCAATCCATATTTATCATTCTAATACATAAACATATTATGAGACACTTGGTCAGATATAGTACTGAATGAGACACAGTAGTACTTTATATCGGTGGTCTTCTATATCAGAAAAGTAGATGAGATTTGTTCTGTCTTGTTGGTGGTGAACTTATGCTTGCTTGTGTTCCATAGAGAGGACTCTATTCAAAGTATAATTGCCATCTTCTAACTCTTTCCTGGCTGCTGAGAAACTAAGCCCTGGTCATAGTATTTGACCAATCTGTTCTCCCCCAAAACCACTTTGGCTGACTTTTTCTCTTCTGTGGTTTTCAAGGTTAAACAATCCTATTAAGAAATGGGCAAAGGACCTGAACAGACACTTCTCCAAAGAGGACATACAGATGGCCAATAGACATATGAAAAAATACTCAACATCACTAATCATCAGAAAATGCAAATGAAAACCACAATGAGATATTGCCTCGCATCTGCCAGTATGGCTATCACCAATAAATCAACAAACAGCAAGTACTGGTAAGACTGGAGAAAAGGCAACTTTTATGCACTGTTGGTGGAATGCAGACTGGTGCAGTCCCTGTGGAAAACAGCATGGAGTTAATCTCAAAAAATTAAAAATGGAACTGCCTTTTGACCCAATGAGCCTACTTCTGGGAATATATACTAAGAATTCTGAAAGAATATATGCACCCCTATGTTCATTGCAGTGTTATTTACAGTAGCCAAGAACTGGAAACAGCCCAAGTGCCCATCGGTAGAAGAATGGATAAAAAAAGTTGCGGTTCATTTACACAATGGAATATTACACAGCAGTAAAAAGGACATCTTTCCTCTTGTGACAGCGTGGATGAACCTGGAAATTATTATGCTAAGTGATATTAGCCAGCCAGAGAAAGACAAATACCATATAATCTCACTTATATGTGGAATCTAATGAACAAAATATATTGATGAACATTATAGAAATAGTCATGGCTACATGGAACAGACTGACAGCTGTCAGAGGGGAGGGGACAGGGAAGACTGGATGAAAGAAGGTGAAGGGATTAGCCAAAGAACATATATGCATGACACATAGACACAGACAACAGTGTGGTGATGGCCAGAGGGAGCGGGTGGGGGGCTGGATGGAGGTGAACAATGGGAAGAAGAAATGGGGACATCTGTAATTGTGTCAACAATAAAAATAAAGTTAAAAAAATAATTACATAAACCAAGGAAGATATAGTAATTTCAGTCAAAAGGAAACTTGCTACAGGGTTGAGGAATGCTATATAAGGTAAAGGTCTCAAGGATGTCTCAGTGGATCTCAGGGTCTCTGAGGACTCCCTTTCTTTCCCATAGTGCCACAAAAGCAGGACAGACATCAAGAGTGCAGTCAAGACAGGGACCCCAGAGATGCTACTGTGCTTTGTTGATGAAGTGGTTAGTGGATTTATTTATATTCCCCAGAGCCAGAAAAGTCAGCAGATTTCTCTAAGTGAGTCAGTTTTATAGTGTCTTCAGATCTGGAGGGTTGCCATGCCCATTGGCTTAAAATACCATTGTCCAAATGTGGAGAGGGGAGCAAAGGCAGCTGCAGGCTGGCCTCAGACAGCAGAGAAAGTGGCCACTTGCCACTGCGGATGCAACTTTCGTTGGAATTACAAGTGGGTACAGAAAGTGAGAGGTAGTTAAGATTGTTTATGGATAAAAGCTTTAAGGAATCAGGATGTCCTTTTCCTTTATTTTTTTCTGAGACTCCTTTACCCAATTATATTTTTATTTTTTTCTGAGACTCCTTTACCCAATAATATTTTTGGAATGAGATCTATGCTTTTTGTAGTTACATAGGCCAATTTACTAGGGAAAAGGGTCGAGTAGAAGGGTCATCATAAGCATTCAAAATGCCAAATTGCTGTGTGTGTGTGTGTGTGTGTGTGTGTGTGTGTGTGTGTGTGTGTGTGACAGATATGTATGTGCTAACATTTTATTTTATTTCAATATACATTTATTTGATAATTAATATTATTTGTATGGCCTGCTTTACTTACTCAGGATACAAATGTGATTACATTGCTCTAATTACCCCCAAAGGATTATGTAAGCATTTATAGCCAATCCTAGCAGGAAGTTCAGTATGTCCCTCTTGAGGCCTCCCAGCAACCCCTATCTCTGCCTCATCTGAGAACCTACAGGGTAGAATTTGTCTGACTTCCAAATGTTCAGGAAGAAGATAACTGGAGAGCCGGATCAGCACCTTCTGCCAGAGGGTGTTGCTGTCAAAGGCTGGCTCTGTGCATTTCAGGTCCTTATCCTGTGCCCCACACACACTGGCTTGGTGTTTCCAAGCTCAGAAGTTGTGCCCGGTTGGCTGGGTTGTGCTGGCATTTTAAACATGCCTTCCCAACTCCTATGGCACTCACACTGTTTGCTGGTGGTCACACCTTTCTTTTCTATTTCTTTCAAACAAAAACACATGTTGTGATCCGAGCTGGTTACCTTTATTCTGTTTCTCTTCCCTTTTTCGTTTTAGCTTGCTCATGTAATGAAGAGGCTTTTTCTGTCTCCATTTCCTCACAGAAGGGCAGTTGTCAATGTTGATAAATGTGTATGGCCTGGTATAGCCTTGTTCAGTGCCTTCCTCCAAATAAGATACCTGTGTCAACCAAATAAGATCCATCTTCATTAGAAAAGTTGAATTAGGGGGGAGTAGGGCAGAGAAAAGTCCTACTGGCTCAGTCTGCCTTGCTGCCACTGGGGCAGGATAGGCTGGACCACCCCTACTGAGCTGTGTGGCTTTCCAGGAGGATCACCAATATTTCCCAGATGGGGTTATTTTGTCATAAATGGTCTGTTTGCTAAAAGAAAAATGCCATTCTGTTTTCATAGCAGCCATGTCTAGTTTTCTGAAGATGATTTACTTTTATAAGAACCATGGATATGTGGAATCTAATGAACAAAATAAACTGACGAACAACATAGAACCAGAGGCATGGATATGTGGATCAGGCTGGCAGATGTCAGAGGGGAGGGATGTGGGGAGGACCTGATAAAAGAAGGTGAAGAGATTAGCCAAAGAACATATATGTATGACACGTAGACACAGACAACAGTGTGGTGAAGGCCAAGGAGGGAGCTGGTTGGAGGTGGGCAAAGGAGGGGAAAATGGGGGACATCTGTAATAGTGTCAATAAAAAAGAAAGAAAGAAAGAAAGAAAGAAAGAAAGAAAGAAAGAAAGAAAGAAAGAAAGAAAGAAAAAAAGAAAAGAACCATTGACCCATATTTTTAAAAAATATATATATATTTTTTTAATATATTTTATTTGACTTCTTACAGAGAGGAAGGGAGAGGGATAGAGAGTTAGAAACATCGATGAGAGAGAAACATCGATCAGCTGCCTCCTGCACACCTGCAACCAAGGTACATGCCCTTGACCAGAATTGAACCTGGGACCCTTGAGTCTGCAGGCCTACGCTCCATCCATTGAGTCAAACCGGTCAGGGCTAAATATATTTTTATTGATTTTTTTTACAGAGAGGAAGGGAGAGGGATAGAGAGTTAGAAACATTGATGAGAGAGAAACATCAATCAGCTGCCTCCTGCACTCCCCCCCCCCCCCCAACCACTGGGGGATGTGCCCACAACCAAGTTACATGCCCTTGACCGGAATCGAACCTGGGACCTTTCAGTCCGCAGGCTGACGCTCTATCCATTGAGCCAAACTGGTTAGGGTGACCCATATTTCTTAATAAGCTATCCTGTGTTTTAAAATTTTCACCATCAAATTTACCCAAGTTCAAGATATTAGCTTTTTATTCTTAATTCCATCCCCAAGGAAATGTTTTCTTTCCCTGTTGTACCTACAGAGCTGCATGAGGTGGACAAGGACCCAGCAGTATCTTGCCAAAACGAAGCAGAAGCCAAATAAAGGACATGCAAAAAAGGCATTTGAACCAACAAACAAAAATGCCATTGCACCATTGTGATTCTCCCAGGGAAACTTGTATTTGTTAGGTGCCCTCTCTTGAAAATGGCATTAAGGAGGGTTCACACATCCCCAATAGTTCAAGTGGGGCTTAACTCTTGGCATGATTACCAAAATGGGTTTTCCAACACATTTATTTCGGGGATTTTTTTCTACCTGTGAGTCTTTAATCTGGTGGCCAGATCTTTCCTTAATTTCATTGTTCTGTGTTTTTCTCTTGTTGCAGATACTATTGGATAAAACTCACAGGCACATTACTCATCCTGGCAAGACTGGGGGAAAATGACTATTTTCTGACATTCACTTTTTAAGGAGATTTACTTATTTTCCTATTGGATTGACCGTGTTGACCTTCTCACTATGTGTTGCTACACCAGCCGTGGGCAAACTACGGCCCGCAGGCCGGATTCGACCCGTTTGAAATGAATAAAACTAAAAAAAAAAAAAAGACCGTACCCTTTTATGTTATGATGTTTACTTTGAATTTATATTAGTTCACACAAACACTCCATCCATGCTTTTGTTCCAGCCCTTCGGTCCAGTTTAAGAACCCATTGTGGCCCTCGAGTCAAAAAGTTTGCCCACCCCTGTCTACACAGTATAACATCTAAGAAAGACTTCATTCTGAAAGATGACTTTTCATCCAGACACCTCCTTGGTGTAGCTATGAAAATAAAACCTTAGAATCCTTGCCATGGAGCTACACTTGATGTAAGAGCAAGCCTCTTACTCTTGTCTTACCTTATTAAGTTAAGCTTTTTTTTTTCCTGATACCAACTTCCTCTTCTGAGATTAAAATTCAAAGCCTTATGTACCCTTCCTTCAGAATCCAGGTTCATTTGACTTAATGTAGACAGAAAAAGGCTCATGAGTTAGCATAGGACCTATGCTGAGTTGTCCAAAAACCTAGTTTTTGCTTCCTTATGCAGATCCCATGAATATGTCATTTTTCTGTGGTCTACCTTGCCCTCAAACTCCGTCAGCCAAACTAATCTGCTGTCCTGTCTTTTGCTCAAGGGTTTGGCCATTTTTGCTCCTCTTCAAGTTCACACACGTGCACAATCTTATCTTTCCACAAAACCTCTCAGGAGCCTCCTGATCTCCCATTGAAAGTGACCTCTTTCTTTTCAAATTCTTTAGCACTTTATACTTCTGTCTCATGCCTCTGAGCATTTTCTCCCTATTCCCATAGTTATTTTACTACATGGTTTCTATATTAGAAGCTAAGGTACTCAAACGAGAATCATGTCTGATTCTCTTTGTATCTGTCCCAGTCTCTGACACAGAGCCCGACACATAGGAAGAGCTCAGAAATATTGAATGCCAGTGAAGAAATATGAAAGAAAGGAGCAGCCCAGATTTTCCCTGGAGCAGAGCCATTAGGTTTGACTAATCATTAAGAGATGAATTAGGGTTAGCTGTCTCCACTGAAGCCTTGTGAAGAGGGAATGAGCTTAAATCTTGGGGGAGGGACTTTGTGTCAACAAAATTTAAGCTCTGGAACCCTACTAGTCAAGGTCTAGGTCCTGAAGTAGAGAAGCTTGGAACTTCTTTTGTTAAAGTTTTTAAGGTAGGCTTTGGAGCTATGGCTATAGGTAGATGAGCAGGAGTGGGGGAACTAGAAGAACTCTCTTTTGAATTTATTGTTATTTCTAGGGAAGTAGTTCAATTCAGAGCAGGGATTTCCACAAATCAAGTATCATAGCCTTGCTGGTCCTAGAGACCTCCCAAGAATGAATAGGAAGCTGATTCTACTTTGAAGAGATAGTCAGCTACATGTGTGCTCTCTTAAATGTTAGGAAAAATGAATAAGAAAAAAATTAATAACACCAGAATAATAACCCAGTTATAATGACTAAGGTCCCAGCCCCTGAAACTTTTCAGGATATGCTTTGAAAAGTTACCTATCCAATAAAATGTAGTTTGCTGGTAGGATGCTCAACTTTGGACTAGGTATGTAAAATCTTTCCCAATCATTGGTTCTCTATTTTCAGTCATCTCTACCAGTCATATCTTCCACTAAGCTCATTGTCTTTTTCCTCAAATCTATTGTGTTGGTAGAATTGCTATTTTCTTCAACAGCAAGCCCAAGCTCATTAGAATAGTATGCAAAACATTCTACAATTTGTCCTTTTGCTCTTGTTCTTTCCTTTAAAAATTTTATCAATTTTTCAGGATCCTATGTTTATGTGTTTGCTTTCCCCATTAGGTAGTAGTTCCTTGATGGTAGGAGCTGAGTCTGAATTATTGTTTGTATTCCTAAAGTGGCTAAGACACAGAGAAAGTCCTGGACTCTAATTTCATGAGGGTATAGACCGTCTCATTCACCTATGTGATCCCAGCATTCACACAGCTTCTGGCTCTGATAAACATGCTGAATTACGAATGAAAAGAAAACAATGTATTCCCAGGCTTCCTTTTTTTTTTTTTTTCAAAGAAGAGGCAGTATGGAGTCCGACAATGGTTAAAATGACGACTCCTCTATTGTCTAGTTAGACCTTGAGCTTATCACTATTCTCTGGGTCTCAGTTTTTTTGCTTTCATAAGAAGAGGAAGTTAAGTTTTAGATATAAGTGAGTGTGTGTGTGCGTGTGTGTGTGTGTGTGTGTGTGAGAGAGAGAGAGAGAGAGAGAGAGAGAGAGAGAGAGAGAGAATGAATTCCATTGGCATTTCAATGGGGAAAGAGAAATACTCTTCCTCGAAATTAGGCTTTATTTATACAAATTACCAAGGGTGATACCAAGGTCAAAAGAAGTTGAAGTTTAGAGTTCAAAGAGGTCCTTTTATCTCCTGAAGCTGGAAGAAGCATTGATTTATGTTTGCAGCCTTGACTTGGCTCCACAATCTTGGGACCTAACAATGATAAATCTCATCAACAACTAAACTCATCCTCTGAGTTCACAAAGTGCCTTTGTTTGCCAGCTTCTTTCTGTCTTTCTTTCTTGTTTTCCACAGATATTTCCCAAGCACTTTCAAATTTCTAATCATTTCATTGGAGCTCCATAAACCCCTTATGAAGTACCTTGGGTAGATATGGTTTTAATCATTTTAAATGGTGTTTTGCTTTAGAATTAAATCATCTTTTAATTTTATAAAATCTTTTTGTTATGAAAACATTCTAACCAGCCTTGGTTTGGAATCCTAGTTTATTTCTTACCAGCTGAATGACCTGCATCAGGTCATTTAATCTCTCTGAAAGGTGATCCCTCGTCTATGAAATGGGGTTAACAGTGGTATCTACTCCAGAGGTTTGTTTGAGGATTAAATAAGAGAATTCTTATAGAGGACTTGTACCTGGATCACAGAAATGCTAAATTAAAATAGCTATTATTATTTGACTAGGGGCCTAATGCACAAAATTCGTGCAAGGGGCTCAGCCCTTGCAGCTGCGGTGGTTGTCGTTGGCTCTCACAGCCCTGGCTTCGTCCGGAAGGTCATCCGGAAGGACATCTGGAAGGCTGTCTGGTCTAATTAGCATAGTATGCTTTTATTATTATAGATGATTTCCTGACAAGGGGGTACTGGATTCCCAACATTCTTTCCTAAAGTCCTTTAGATTACAAGACAATCTTAGCATCATTGTTTTTTTTGTTGTTGTTGTTTGCTTGTTTTGTTAACACTTGCAGTAAAAGTTTTCAGTTCTATGAACTTGGGCTTAATGTTGGATTCGGAAGTTTTAACTTAGCCTCCCTGACTACATTGCTCCTGGAATATTTTGTTGTTCTTGTTTTTCTCCCTTCTTGGAGTTGCTGTTAAGCAGAAACTCAGAGCCATGCCACTTTAAAGAGTTGAATCTCCTGCCATTTTCAAGATGTAGGCAGGCTTTATCTTTGTCCATTTTTATATCGCTATCTTACACCCTAGGTTACTCCTGAAACGGAAAGAGTTCAAAGAGGTCCTTTTACTTTTTCTATAGATCATAATCTCCTTGAGGACACAGAGTATTTCTTGCCTGGCAGAGATTTTGGCACTTGTTCAATACAGTCTTGGCCCATTCTTAACCTGTGTATGATTCCTTAAGAGGATTGATTGAAAAGTTATTGTAGAATAAATATGCCAGAGACCTGGAGAGTATTATACTAAGAAAATTAACCAGTCAGAGAAAGACAAGGTTCACATGATCTCACTCAAATGTGGAATCTAATGAACAAAATAAACTGACAAGCAAAATAGATTTAGAGACATAGAAGCATGGAATAGACTGTCACATCTCAGAGGGAAGGTGAGGATGGGCGAATGGGTGGGAAGAGATCAACCAAAGAACTTGTATTCATATATGCATAACCCATGGACACAGACAATAGGGCGGTGAAGGCCTGGGACAGGGGGCAGGGCCAGTCTAGAAGGGGTCCGGGCGGGGGGGGAAGGGACATATGTGATACTTTCAACAATAGAGATTTAAAACAAATAAAAAAATAAAATAAAATGACTAGGAAGAAAAGAATAAATATGTCAGCAAAAGGTGTCACTAACACAATCCTTTTTGACTGATGACAAGATTCTGTCCTTTCATTGCTATTCAAAATGTGGCTCTTAGACCAGCACCCAGGAGTTTGTTAGAAGTGCAGACTCTCCTGACCGTAGACCTAGTAACCCTAGTTCTACTGACCCTGGACCTACTGACTCTAAACCTACTGAATCAGAATCTTCAGATTCTGTGTTTTTAACAAGATTCACAGGGAAATCTGTGCACAGTACAGTTTGTAAAATGCTGCTCTAAAAGACATGTCCTCAGTCCAACCCAGTGATAAGGACACAATGGCAGACAGGCTGTGCTTACCAGATTAGTTCCTGTACTGGCTATTATTGACTCACTTGGTGCTTGATCTTATCTTATTTTATTCTGTTTTGATACCTGTTCATTTCTCTGTCTTTCCATTTACACCATATTGGCAACCCACTCAAATTTAACTTTTGGGGTGCGTGGCCCATCTGCTTTGCTTCCCACTTAACAATGAGCATTCTCCCTTCTGGCATGGTTTTCCTTCTGATTGCTCGTTCTGAAACCCCATGTCTCATTATCTGAATTACAGAAGAGCGGACGCTAAACTTTTTTAGAAAAGGGTCACTCTCATTAGGCAACCCATCACTACTTCCTCGCTCAAGCCTTGGTCAATAGGACCTTTCAAAAGGCATCTATTAAGAATTTGTGTGTGTGTGTGTGTGTGTGTGTGTGTGTGTGTGTGTGTTGCAAATGCAGCCTGATATCCTGAGCCGCTCCCCCTCCAGATATTAGTGAGACAATCTATGAATGTATTGATAAATAGATTAAAAGATGGTGGCTATCCTGTACTAACTAGACTTTACCTTCTTCTTTTAAATCCTCACCTGAGGATATGTTTCTTATTGATTTTAGAGAGAGAAGAAGGGAGAGGGAGAGAGAGAGAGAAGCATATATGTGAGAGAGAAACATC